TTTGTTTTTTTTTGTGTTTTTTTTTTTTTTTTTTTTTTTTTTTTCTTCTTTAGTTCTACCTCCAGTGTTAGTGCCTAGACATAGCGAATTCAACCCACAGCACAGCCTACTAGTTCAGTTCAGGAACCTAAGCCACAATGAACCGCATATGCCACACAACGCTACGTTTCCAGATTCTTTCCAGCAGCCCAACAGCACTCCATTTTCCATTTCACCGAACAGCCCCTATCCACCTTCTCCAGCCAGCAGCACTTACCCAAGTTCCCCAGCCAGTTCTGGACCTTCAAGTCCATTTCAGCTGCCAGGTAAGAATAGTCTGTGTGTGAACTTTACTGAGAAATAAAAAGCTTGCTTTGATATCATTGTGCTAAAAGCTATTGCAATTTCTTTTCTTTTTTTTTGTTTTTTGATGTTTCTGGTATTGTCAGTTCATGTTGGCTGAATATTGGCCGATTCTTATATTTACTTATCATTCATTCATTATCAATGTTTGCATTTAGTTTTATTCCATTTCCTTACTTTTATATTGCTCAGAAAGAGATCATGTAGGTTATTTCTAAGGTTTTATTTTCCACATGACATTTGTAAGTATCAAATGACAAGAAATGGGACTTCTGAATTTATCTCCAGTGCTTTTAAATAGGCATTGTAAAGCAAGATGAAAGAAATGTCTTTAATATTAAACCTGCTTTCCCCATCAAAAAAATCCATAGGATAAAGTAAATAGCCTTAAAATAAAGATGATATGAACAAAATCTGTTATCCTGGAAGATATAGCTTTTGTTACGCTTCGTTTGACAGCATAGAGTTGTAGGTTTTTATAATCCCACAAATGCCAGAATGCTGGGGTGTACCAAAGGGTATTTAAATAGATAACTTCTTTAATCTCTCAAGCTTATGTATATGGTCATCTCTAGTAAATAAACACTTAGCAAAATTAAGAGTGTGTAGTGCAGTTGGCCAAGACAAGGCCTTATACTTAAACTTGATGATGTCTTTGTCATGCAAAACCTTTTTTTACGCGTCCTCCAGTCATTTGCAAAATTTCAGGGAATATCCCAGCTACCAGGAGGGATTAACCTTTTTGATTTTTGGTGGATATTGAAAAACAAAGAGAAGAAAAAGCCTGCATGGAGCCTTTGACACAGTATCTAGTTAGCAGACACAGTACCTGAATCCACCTATGTAATTGCCTATGGACCTCATTGATGGCAGCCATTAAATTGGTCAGCATTCCAATATATGCATCTTGGCTCCACCCATCTTCCCAGCGTGCTTAAAAATGATAACACTTTCATTTCAGCAGTAGGCTGAAATACAAATAATGTAAGGATTGGGGTTACATGTAGACCCCATGAGATGAGGGTTGCAAGGAATTATTGACATTGTTGATGCACAGCTTTTGAGGAATGGAGGAATGCAAGGAGAGGTTGGTGTGTATATATAGTTCACTTAGCCAAGTCTCTTAGCCAGCAGAGAATCTGATCCTCTGGCATAGTTCTCCATTCTTCCCAGGAAGGGAGATAATGTTATATTCATGCTTTCTGCTGTTGTGTGTGTGTGTCTCCCTGTATCTCTCATATACCAAAAGTTTAAAAATTCAAAGTCTTCCCTTCTCCTCTCTACCATTGTTTATTCATTTTTCTTTGTTTCTAAGGCTAAGGCTTTGTTAAAATCAGTTTGTTTTAACAGATGAAATAAATGCAATCGTATTGATCTCCTATAGGAGTGAGTTCTGTAACTATGAAACAGCCAGATGAAAACAACTTTCCATTTTTTCATAAGTCCTGTCCTTGTATCCCAGTCACATAATCAAGAATAAGCCTATCAGTGGAGATAATTGCAAAGACATGGGGTGCCTCAAGTAGCCTTGGCTGGTTTCAGGTTGCTTTGCAGATAAGGGTGAAAACTTAGCATCATCCCTTGCTTAGAAATGCTTCTTGCCTCTCTTTGAATGATAACTGAGCTAGATAAGATTCTTTGGGTTAATGTGATATCTTTTATTAGACTAACTAAATAGTTGGAAAAATTGTTCTTTGCAAGCTTTCAGGCATAAATGCCCTTCATCAGGCATTCAAGAGAGTCTTCTGTTGGTTTGGGTGCTCTCCTGGGTAGATTAGAAGTCAATATGCAAAAATGCAGGTTGTGAAAATGCAAATAGATGGCATACAATAGGTGGGGCGGGGAAAGGGGGATGTTCACCTGGTGAAAGAATGCAGCTAGTAAACTGTAGAGAGGTTACCTGAGGTTCTGAGATGACAGGCAGGTTATAATATACCATAAATCCATGTCTATATTTAATCCATGATTTTTTCTATCTTGTAGCTCTATGAAGCGAAGTTCGTAGGCTCACTTTTTTGTAAATTCCCTTTGAGGATTCCCCCCCCGCTCCATTGTCCACCATACATTTGCATTTTCACAGACCTGCACTTTTGCATATTGGCTTCTAATCTACCCAGGAGAGCATCCAGACCTACAGCAGACCTCCAATGCCTGACAAAAAGGGTGTTTTGTGCCCAAAAGCTTGCATAGAACAATTTTTCCAACTATTTAATTGGTCTAATAAAAGTTATTGGATTTACTCAAAGAACCTTGTCTGCCTACGTGCTTAGCCCAGCACGGCTACAACCAACAACCCTGAGCTAGATAAAGCATTTGGTTTCACTTTTTGGTTCCTCTTCGCAGCTGATACTCCTCCTCCTGCGTATATGCCCCCTGACGATCAGATGGGGCAGGATAGTTCGCAATCTATGGACACAAGCAACACTATGATTCCTCAAATTATGCCAAATATATCCAGCAGAGGTAAGGTCATATGGTAGATAACAGATGAGTGTTGATTGGTGGCTTAACACTAAGGGCCAAACTGAGGGGTAACTTAAATGATTGAATAAGTTATGTATTAGTTGATGTAATTTCCAAATCAAACTGGAGACAGTCCAGGCTTACCCAAGGAAGTGGATACAAGATAAACACACCTTACTTAGTTCACTTCATACTCTTGTGTTGTTTGGCTTTGTTTTTTAAACGAGCTAAGTAGTAAAGAACCACAAGACTCATTTTATTTAAAATGCATATAATGTAACACTTTAGAGGACTGATTTTTTTTTTTTTTTTTTTTTTTTTTTTTTCCCCCTCCTCCCCACATGAAGCATTGAGAATTTGCCTGCTTACTATGTCATTGGGAGTTGTGAATGCTTAACACCCAAGATATTGGATCCCACATGCTGCTTGTAAATAAAATTATATAGAAAGTCTCCCTTTTGTATCTGACAATACTTTTTAGAATATGTTTCCTTTTTTTTTTGCTTTTTGTGGGTCTTTCACATACCCTGGAGTGGGGAGAACAATTTAAATTCTAAAATTACTATAAAACAAAATTGGCAGAGTAAATTAAAGTAGGTGTACATGAGAACACCTTAACTTTTTAAAATTGACTGGCTTTCAACACTGGGTAGGGTGCTTTTTAATCCTTTCACGCTGCCTTTTAAGTACAAGAAGCAGAGGTTAAATTGCTGAAGCACTTTTAAGGGAAGAGGTTGAAGGGTTATTTGACCCTGCTAGATTGTATATTGAAGTAAGTTTATGTAAGTTGATTGAATTTTGATTTTGTTTGTCTTGTAGATGTTCAACCTGTTGCCTATGAAGAGCCTAGGCACTGGTGTTCAATTGTGTACTATGAATTAAATAATCGTGTTGGAGAGGCTTTTCATGCATCTTCCACCAGTATCTTAGTAGATGGATTTACAGATCCTTCTAATAATAGAAACAGATTCTGCTTAGGTTTGCTGTCCAACGTTAATCGGAATTCAACAATTGAGAACACTAGGCGACACATTGGAAAAGGTAAAACATCAATATAATACATGCATTCTTTATGAATAAGGGGCTAATAGCAATAGGCTAAAAATAGGTCCCTGGAACAGTTACTTTACAATATACAGAAATTGAGACTGAGCCTGGTGTCCAAGCAGATCTACAGTATGCTTGCAGATGATAGATAGTTAGATTGACTGATTTTTTTAAAGCAGCTCGTGACTTGATGTATATGCATCTGGAAAACTGCATGACTTCTGTGTTCAGCTCTAGACAAAAATGATGTGAAAATATAAAAATTCCCTTTCTCTTGAGTAGGCTGACTCCAGGACTTTGTGCCAGCACATTAACCAAAGGGAAGTCCTAGGGGACATCTTGTTACAGGATCTATCAAGTTGCATGCATACAGCTGCCTTTTTAAAGCATGTTCTTGCTACCACTTTCAGTATATCAAGGCATTGTTCTCAGTTTGCATATGGCATTTGAGCACTGTCTACAGTATGTTAAGTGTCCTTTAGGAGATGAAAGGAAAACTCTGAAGTACTAAAATAAGGCTGTAAGGACCTGTTTTTGCTCAGTGACTCTAATGGGTGTGGGGTGTGTGGGCACTCATGCATGCACTTGTATGCTGAAGGAAGAGGGTCTTGGTTTTGGCAGGTTTTTAAACCCCTTTTCATATTCTTTCCCGTCCTCATGCAATTAGCTAGCTAAGCCTTGACAAGAGAACCCTCCCTCCTCCTGCCCTGTTCTTTATAAAGGTTTCTTGGCACTTGAGGATCAACTAAAGAGTTTTCAGATTTCCTTGGCATCAGGCAAATTGAAAGAGTTGCAGAGTGCCTTAAAAAACCAAAGTACTGTAACAAAAAGAGTTATAACCCTTATGTTTTGGTCTACTTCAGACTTGGATGTATAGTTTTAGTTATTGGAATCATCAATTTTGCTGAGTTTGTCATTGTTACCAGGTGTATGATACAATATAAAAAAGTTTGCATTCAAGTTTTAACCTAAAGTAGGGCTAAATCTGTAATCCTTGATCATTGGTAGAATAAAAATGTAACTTATTTCTTCAGTTGGGAACAATTAAAGGACAATTTCTGGATAAAATGCTTAGTTTTTCTAGGAAAAAAAAATTCTATTATACCCTTCTGAAACTTGCCAGACATGTTTCATTTGTTTTTTGGCTCACTACAGATCAGTCTCTCCAAAAATGCCAGATTTGTCACATGTCCTTAAGTATTTCAAGTGGAGGTCACTTTTGGAATTTCGGGAGTAAATAATTTAAAAATATTCTTTGTAATTTGTTGCAGGTTTTATTTCCAGCCTCCTATCTATGTTTGTTTTTCCACTTCCCAGAAATCCTGCACTATCATTGGCTTGAAGAGGCCAGCGGGGGTAAAATTGAAGAATGGAATTGATTGGCAGAAATCTGGTTCCAAACTAGTCCCAAATCTAATGGTTTAGTCCCTTGGAGTTGATCAGATGGCAAAGCAGTCTGCCTGCAGATTCCTTTTCCGAAATGACATCCCACTGCTGGCTCCCAGTAGATTTGATGAGGTTCACTAACACAGGGGTTCCCAACCTTTTTATGCTGAGGACCTGCCGGACCAACCCCCTTTTTTATGGGGTTGGCCGCTGGTCCGCAGCATGCTGGTCACTTCCAGTCTGCGGCCTGCTGGTCTGCAGTCACCTCCAGTCAGGCAGCCAACCCTTTGCAGCCTGGTACAGGGCCGCAGCCTGGGGGTTGAGAACCCCTGCACTAACGTTTCTTACATTCTGAAAGATCCCCTCAATTTTGTCAAATGACTAAATCCCCTCCGGCAGAAACCATGTTTCTTAGTGGATGTGCCTTAACTGAAACTCGGACGTATCAGCCCCATCAGCATTATTGGGAGGAAAAGTTGGAAGAAGCTTTGCTGAAGTAGGAACAAGGACCCAAGTTTGGACAATGAGCATTTTAAATAGCTTTGCCTTTGTTGGATGAGTTTTTAATTCTTGTCTTTCAAGTAGTGACACATTAGCATAATATTACAGTATTTGAGTTTCAAGCCATGCAGTAAATTTGCGTGAGAATTTTACAGCTGAATTAAAAAGAAAAATTTAGATGCATTTTTCCCATTGATCTCAAATTTGAGTATATTTAAATGTTGGGCCCAGTCTGATGTGGGTTGCATCTTTTCAGCCGATTGGTAAAATAAGATGAAAGGCTGAGCATACTGTGAATATACTTTCTCGTGCAGCTCTCAGTATTCCTCCATTCTGATCAGAAACATTTTTATTCTAGTCCTGGCTTCCAATTTTACAAACCTGCAGGCTTTTATAAGCCACAGTGTTCTCAAAGGAACTGGCTGAGAAGGACTGCTCACTTTCCCCTGTGAAGTTAAGCTATCCAGTCTGTTCTATAATTGATGAAAGAAGGACATCTAGCGGCTGATATAAAATGAGTGTTTGTTAAACAGCGTGTGCTTCAGGTTCGCTGAAAAAAATATTTTTTTCTAGAAAGCTCTTCAAATGGAAGTCTGACTAAATTGAACTCAAAGCTCAAGGGACCTATAATAACAACAGCACTTCTGCAATTAGCTTGAACCATTTTTTTTCTAACTTTATTTTTAAGGCGTTCATCTTTACTATGTTGGTGGGGAAGTCTATGCCGAGTGCTTAAGTGACAGCAGCATATTTGTACAGAGCAGGAACTGCAATTATCATCATGGCTTTCATCCTACCACTGTGTGCAAGATTCCCAGTGGCTGCAGCCTAAAAATTTTTAACAATCAGGAGTTTGCTCAGCTTTTAGCTCAGTCTGTCAATCATGGATTCGAAGCAGTTTATGAGCTCACCAAAATGTGCACCATTCGAATGAGTTTTGTAAAGGTAAACATTGTCTTTTTATCTTGGGCATTTAAAATTTTCCTGAGTAGTCACTACTACTTGGGGTTTTATTGCTTGTTGAGATGACTCCTTTTTCAGCCTGTTTGTGTACAGTCTTTCCCATTGTACTGTAGAGCATGAGGGGTGTTCTTGTACCACCAAGGATTTATTTTAAAACCTCAACAGGTGTTAGACATAGTAAGAGAGAATTTATCATTCTGGTACCTGAAGTGAATGCATTACTTTAATGTCCCCTCTCTAATTACTGCTGGGCCTCTGTAGTGAATTTCTAGGTTTCTAAGGTAAGAAGGGACACTACACCAAACACAGATGATAGGACTTCCCTGGATTAATTCCTGGATCAAATCCCGTACGTATGGAATGGTAGGCTCTATCATCTTGCAGTTTGTCCATAGTATACAAATTGGTGTTAACCCTTATTGGCATAATAAGGGTTAACACTGAGACTGGACCTCGCTGTGAAGCATTCTGTGTCCCAGAGAGTTTAAAATCTAAATTTACTAGACAAACAAGATGAGAAGAGGTATTGTACCACTGTATACATGCAAAAAAAAAAAAAAAAAGACCAAGAATTTATCTTTGGCTAAGGAGCCTGTGGTAGAGTGAAGACCAGAAGCCAGAATTCTTGCATATAGTGCCCAAAGCTCAAATTTGTCCTTCTTCTCATCTTTCCACCCTCTTTGTCCCCCTCTTACTTGTAATCTAACGATCAGATGCCTCGCAGCATTTCTTTGAACAGATTACTGGTATACCTTCATAATTACAAATGTTTTTAAATTTTTTTATAGGGTTGGGGAGCAGAATATCACCGGCAAGATGTCACAAGCACCCCATGTTGGATAGAAATTCATCTTCATGGGCCCCTGCAGTGGCTGGATAAAGTACTGACACAAATGGGCTCACCTCTTAATCCCATCTCCTCTGTTTCATAGTGCCGAAGTATTCTCTTCAAGTTGAATCTTTTTAGCGAACTTATTCTAATTCTAGAGAAACTTCCAAGGTGGATACTGTGAGCTACATGGAAAACAGATATTATGGTTAAACTTCTTACCCTGGTGTGACCAATTCCATTGTGTATTGATGATCAGTTTTACATTTCAATTTGTTCTTGTGATACTCAAGTGACAATTGAGACCTAAGAAAAAAAAGTCTATTGAAAATTTTAGAACATTTTTTCCTTTCCTTCATATAAGACTTAAACAGGTATTTGTCTTAACTGGAACTTTTTCTGTCATGTAGGGACAAGAATTTTGAAGACTGACTATAGGGAGTAAATACATATCATAGATTTAAAAAAAATATTAATAAACTGCTGAACTTGTGCAGCTCCAGCTTACAAGCAGTATTTTTAGTAAAGCTGCATAACAATTTTGGATGACAATTTATAAACAAAATTAGCCTTTATTATAGCTAATTTTGCTTCAGTTTGAACAATGTGATTTAAGTGTACACATGTTGAAATTATACTTTTTTTACAGATACAGAATGGTGTAAAACACTTGCATTATCTATTGAAAAAGTGCCGTCATAAACACACTGTATATTCATTGCAAAAGAGCAAGCATTAGCTTCATCCCTCATCACTTTTTTTAATATTGCTTTTAACCACCGTTTAAATAGTAATTGATGAAAGGTAAACTTCCTACACTTCTCTGGACTTAGTAATTCTTGTTTTTTTTCCTTTGATTTATGCCTATACCATTTGGATGTTGTTGCCAAGGTCTAGCTTTTTTTTTTGTAGATACCCTCTGTATTTTAGCATAAACACTACTTTTTGTAAAGGCAGTACTTTTCTTGGAAAGATTTAAGTGTTTTTTGGGTTTTTATTCTTCCTAGTTGCTTTTGACCTGTGTAGAACTGGTGTGTGTTAATGTCCTAGTCTCTCAACACTTATTACAGTATTAGCGATTAAGCTGTATTTAATTCACTTTGCACAAATTTGATCTCTTCTGCTCATGCTAGTCAAAGACTGAATGGCTTAAAACTAAGTAATTGAATGCAAGGCCTTTCATTTTTAAGTCACCCACACAAATACAAACCTGTTTGGTAATGAGCAAAAATCATTGCTACTAGTGGCCTTTATGATAAGTGGTCTTAGTCCAATTTTTTATGAGCAGCTGTCCCCTGGCATATATAGTCTACCACTGTATTTGCAGTCTTAGCAGAGAAAGGATTGAATGGACATAGAGGTTAAATTGCTCCTTCATCCACGTAGGAAACCCTTCAGGGAGACTGTGGAGGTGCAGTGGCAGGGTGCTGTGAGAAGGGTTGGACAGCTGCTGCCTGTGCTGAATCTGTCTTGTAGAGAGAGGGTGACACCCAGACTCAATGCAGACACTGAAAACAATCATTTAAAGGGCAAGACTATCTGGAAGAACCATTTCAGTGAAGAAATGACCTAAAAGAAATGTAGAGTGGAACTTTTTGACTGAACTCAGTTATAGCCTGACTCTAATTCCCAAGGTTTGTTTTTTTTCCCTTAACATGCAACCAAGGCCTCTTAATGCATATAATAACTCTGACTTATGCAAGTAAAGGTAAAGCATTTGGGAATTGGTAAAAAAAAAAAAAACTCTAAAGCTCAAGTACTTAAAAGTTGCCTTGTAGCTAGTTGCTGCAGTCCCTGGGTGTATTGTGTGCTTACCTGAGTTATTCTTGTATCCTTTATTGGTGATAGAGCTTTTGCTGAAATGTGGTGATCCCTTCATCACATGGTACATTGGTAAAGAATCACCTTAAAGGAACAAGGCTGTTTACATATCAAGAAAACATGTTTCTTTTGAAATGCCTTAAAGGAATAAAGATAGATTGATACTTTCATAGATCTTTAATGCTATCTTGTACAGAAATTTACTGTTTTTTGCTTGATTTATTTTAAAATATTTTTTTTTTCCTCCACCATTTTAAACAACAACCCCCCCTCCCCCTGAAAAAACACCAACCCTTCAGGACAAAAAGTAACAATGCTTTGCCATTTACCTTTGTCTGTTGCTTATTTCTTTGAATGATAGGCAGTTGATGGTTTTATCGAATGAGCTACAGGCTCAGCTGTGCCCTTTCTTTGTCACTTTATCAATATCAGCACTACAGTATCTTGATGAACTCATGTTTTTATTAATGTCATGAAATGCGGCGTTAAAAAAAAGTAAAATATCAGTTGCAGGTATAAAATTTTTCTCCATCCAAGGCTGAATGGTAGCTGGGAATGGGGGTTTACTTGGGCGGGCATGTTGGAATTAATTCTTAGTGCTAATTTTGAGGTTAAGTTGGCTGCACATGGTACTGTAATTACAGCAGTGCTGCCACATGTATCTAGTCAACTCTGGATGCTGTTTAGCACTAAAATAGCTTGGCTAGTGGTCGCCTACCTGCATTTATTTGTTTGACTTGTAATGCCAGCAGCAGCCTGGTAACTGCTTCTTCAGGACAAACATGGAGGGGCAGGCTCACTAAATATTGCTCTGGTGCGTGCTTTTTTTTTCT